CTTCTGTTTGTTTGTTTGTTTTTATTTACTTATTTTTGGCCAGGCAACTTGTTAAGTGACTTGCCCAGGGTCACACAGCTGGTGAGTATCATGAGTCTGAGGCCCGATTTGAACTTAGGTCCTCCTGACTCCAGGGCTGGTGCTCTATCCACTACACCATCTAGCTGCCCCTCTTCTTCTGTCCTTTACTGAATTAATTCTAATGAATTCTGTGGCTCTACTACATCATTCTATATAAGATTTGTTTATAGAAATAGAGTGGTTTATGACTGTAATTAAGGATCAGCTCACCAGATATTAAAGAAGGACTATCCTTAAGGAGTCTGTACCTATTGATTAATATGAACTGTACAAGGAAACAGAAACTGTGTAAAGCATCACTATAGGCTATAAAAATTTAGCACCTACTGAATACCTAGCAAGGCACTACTTACTTGGTGGTTAGAATCATACATCAGAAACTCAGTGTCTTTTATAAATTAACTGATGACAGACCTCCAAAATAAAAATCTCAAAATATTCTTGAGAATTCAACAAATAACCTGTACTAGAATCGGATCATTATCAGAGACAGAATTATTGCCAATAATCACTCACACACAGCAATGATCTATAAAAATTTAAGAACATCTTTAATAGATGCCATTATGCCAAACACTCAATCTCCAAGTTCTGTGGAATACAAGCTTTCAAAGTATAGAGATCAAGCAGAAAAAATAATGGTCATGTGGAAAGAGGGTGAGGTATATATCTTTCTTCTCACCCTGTCTGCTTCTAGAGTTGTCATAAAGTTATATTTACATGACAACTCTTATTTTATATAACCCACCTGTCCCAGTCTGAAGAGAGTAGATTAGTGACTTGTCCCAGGGCTATTTCTATCTAAACTCCATGGAAAAGGTACAAATGATAATGATAATAATTACTTTACATCTAGCTTTAAAAACAGAGAATATGGGTTTAAGTCCTCACTCTATCACCTACTCCTGTGACCAAGAGCAAGTCACTTAATCTCTCAGTTTCCCTGTCTTTAATATGGAGTTGAACTACAGAGACTCTAAGATCTCTCCCGGCTCTTACTGTTGATATATTGGATTCATACTGGGAAGTCCTGGGAAGAAGAGACATCAATTATTAAATAAAATGACTACCTAACTGGTAAAGAACACTAGTAAGAAAAAATAAAATAGCAGCAACAATATCAGTTAAAACAATCTGCTTTTTCATGAGTTGTTCTTTTAGCTGAACTCCAAATATAATGAACAAAAATAATAAACTGTACAATTCTAAACTATTTGTGGAGTGTCTCTCCAGCTACAATTTTTTCTTTCTATTCAAAATTATTTCCTTAAAAAAAGTTAATACTTTAAAAGATACAAAAGATAGCATGCCTCATTAATTTCCCTAGGTTCATATGCTCCAAGATCCTGCTAGGACAAAAATCAGTAAAAGAACAAACCAAAATCAGCTGATTGAATTAGAAAAATTCTCAGTGAAAATGTATTATGTTTTCCATTTAAGAAAAGTTAAATATATGTTACTTTAACTGTTACTTTAAAGAAATAATACTGTTTATTTAACAGTTTAATTTAACAGTTTAAACAGTTTAATACTGTTACTTTAAAGAAAGTTCTAATTCTGTTTTCAATGCATACCTCAGTGGTAGGAAAGGCTCAAATTAAAGTGGGCCAAACCTTACTTTCCACCTGTTTTCCTACAAATGGCAAGTGAGGCCCAGTATCTGGTTCCTTTCAAGTTAACTAGCAAAAACTTGTCTATGAAAATGTCTTTTCCATTTGGGAAAGAAAAACAAAATTCTACAAAGAAGAGATGCTAATACATTCACTAAGTCCACCTGGGAAGAATTATTCTCCATCACAGAACAGTAAAATAGAACCCCGTTATAATGGCTCATTTTTATACAAATTCAGATACACTATGAGTCAAACATTTGCTCTTCAAACCTATCTATAGACAATAAAATACTAATATAATATGGCTAGTCTCCAAAACGGATGTCAGGCTTGTCCCCCCCCCCCCCCCCCCCCGCAACAGCAGCATTATTCAATTCAACAAGTATTTATTGAGAACTTAATATAAAAGGTTTCCACTACTTGCATTTCAAAAGAAATCTTTGGAAAATTTCCTTCATCAGTTAGAAAAAATATAATAAACCAAGAATATGTTACAAGTTGTAAAAAAATGTCAGTAATTCTTTTCAAATTAAACATGAGGAAAGGCATTTGAAAAAAGAAGCAAAGGGAATAAGAAAATAAGACTTGGAGTACACTTAAAAGATTTTTTTAATCAAACATGATCATTTTAGGTTTTCTAGGCACTTAGGGTATGAAATTTTTACCATCACTTTTACAAGCTTAAAACTGTGGAGCCATCTTTGGCTCCACCCTCTTCTTTTGTTCCCTCATCCAGTCACAAAATCCTATGAATTCTTTCTTCCTAAAATGGTTTATCTTATCCATTCCTATTTCTCTGACACCACATAGTTTAGGCTCATATAATCTCAAGACCTTCAATAGCCTACCTGCAATTTCCTTTTTTAATCTTTCCCTATTACCTTTTCCAAAGCCCTAATTCATCCCACATGTGACATAAAAACTAATCTTCCTATATCCCTAATAACTCCTCCACTGAAAATTTTTCAAAGGATACCTATTGCCTATAGGATAATGTCCAAAACCCCCTAAACCACAGTTCAAGACACAATATGATCTCTTCTACAGGAAGCAGTGTGTAGTGGTATGAACAAATGAGACTGGATTTAGAATCACTTCAATTCCCTGGGCCTCCCCTTCCTGGTCTGCACAACAAAGAGAGTTAGACTAAATGATTAGTTAGACTAAATGATTGGGTTATACTCAATTTAGGGCTTATAAACTCTAAACTTATGATGCTTTAATGCTTATCTAAGATTCAGAGTAAATCCCAGTTTCTTTGTAAAGGATTCCCTATTTCAGCTTAAGTCATTTCTTTAGTCTCTTAACTATGGCAATTATTATCCATCCATTTGATAATCATGTACATGTACCAGAAGGACCTGATATTTATTTCAGGGGAAATTTTTCCATCAACTCCTCTAGCATTCTTGGTAACAGTTCCAGTAAGGGTCGAAGCAGGAATTGAATCTATGTCTTCCAACTCTAAATCCAGTACTCAACCCATTGTCTTTCTGTATCTGATGATTATGTATTAAAAATAATTTACAGGGCAGCTAGGTGGTACAGTGGATAGAGCACCTGCCCTAGATTCAGGAGGACCTGAGTTTAAATCTGGCCTCAGACACATAGCACTTACTAGCTGTGTGACCCTGGGCAAGTCACTTAACCCCACTGCCTAATCAAAAAAAAAAAAAAAAAAAGCAAAAAACCCCACAAAAACCAATTTACTGTCATCTGCAACTGTAATAACTTTTCACATGTTGACTTTTTCCCCATCCAGATTATAACTGTTTTGAAATTCAGTCTGAATTTGGGGAATCTTTAAGACCTGGGTTCCAGAAATGGGGTGGATTAATTAATTTCTCTGGGCCTCAGTTTTTTCATCTGTAAAATGAGAGACAAGATAATTTTAACAGTCCTTTCCAAATGTTACTGTCTCTTTATTTTGTGTAAACCTCCAAAACACATAATAGCTCATGTTTACATACTGCTTCATGATTTACAAAGCACTCTGCTTACAATAAAATCATGGGTTCACGTATTTAGAGCTTAAAGATACAGTCATCTAGTTCAACCTTTCATTTTATATAAGAGGAAAATGAAGCATAGAGCAAGAGATATGGCCCCAGACCACACACAAATTACAAGTAAGGTTTGAGACTTTTAAAAATTCTCTTCACTCCCAATTCGCCATCCTTTCCACTGTACAGCGCTGCTTTTCCAAGACAGTGGAAAATTCAAATATCCCTTATATTAAACTTTCAAAGACAAATGAAAATGTTTTAAAGGCAACAGTGCCATCAGTTTAGATCTAAGGTCTAAAGTAGTAAGTGAAAGCTGTTGATGGAAGATAGTATTAATCAATAATCAACAAACATTTATTAAGCTCCTATTACGCCGCCAGGCACTGTGATAAGCACTGGGGATACAAAAATACAAAAAAAGAGGCAAAAGACTGCGCCTGATCTCAAAGAAAGCAGTGACTGGGCTTTGAAGTCGAAGAAAACAAGGTGAGGAAACTTTCTACTAATGCCCAATGGGAAATCCTCTACAACTTAAATCTTCAAAAAAATTGCCGATCTGTCACAACAGATGGAGCGCTGAGGCTGTAGTCCGGAAGATGTGAGTTCGAATTCAGCCTCAGACATTTACCAGCTTGAAAACCTTAGCTAGGTAAAATCATTTAACCTCAAATCCCTCAACTGTAAAACGGAGCTACTAAGATCTACCTCCCAGGGGTTGATGCGAGATATGCAAAGCAGTATATAAATATATATTATTATCCTACTAAGTGGACTTGCACGGGTCGTGGTCACACAGCTGATGGAGGTCATAGGCAGCACGTGAACCTTGCTCTCCTTGAACTTCAGTGCCAGGGCTCTATGGACTATGTCAAACTGCCTCCCAGGAGAATCAAGTGACGCGACGGAGAAACATTTACTACCTGTGCAACCTCAGGCAAGTTAGTTGTGCCTCAGTTTCCTGATCTGTGAAATGAAGTAAGGGGGTTGGCCTAGTCTCTTTCATTTCTAGATCTACGACCCAAAGATCCTAAATCTTGTGGGATTGCAAAGGGTGATGACTCCAAGGCCGGGTGCTGGGCAGGCGGTGGAGGACTGATGAGATGGGGGGCAGGGTGGGGGCGGGGAGGGGCATGGGAGTTCTGGGCCTGCGCAGCGGAGCCCAGGCCGAGAGCGGCACGCGGCTCTCCAGTCAGAAGCCCGCCCGGCAGGCCCCGACGGGAAGGGGATCATGAGAAGGAGGAGGGGGAGGCATTCCCTGAACCCACGCCACAGAAAATCGACGCATAAATCCGAAAGCCACCTGAACCGTGCAGCATGATCAGAGAGGCGCTATGTTGCCCCGCCGGGGCCACCACGTATCGCCGCAGCCGCGCGGAGGCTCCCGCTACCGCCGCCATAATGGTCCAACTTCCTCTCCCAGCCCTCTCCACCTCGCGTCTGCCAACGGGCTCGTGCACGCTCGGGGATTGGGCCGCGTTCCCGATATCGGGAGCGCGCGCGAGGAGGCTGGGGCACGCGCCCGCTGTTCTGAGCGAGCCTAGGGATTTAGTACTCGAAGTCTTCAAGTCTAACCTCCTTGTGTAGATGAGGAAAGGGAAGCCCAGAGAGGTCACACCAGTGGGAAACAGCAATGCCTATGTTTGAAATCAAACGTTCCAACTCAATATTAAGGGGGGCAGGGGGGAAATGGGGCAGGGATCCCAGGGGCAATTCCCTTAAACTCTCTCAGACATCATTTCCTTATCTGTAAAATGAAGGATTGAACTTGACAGTCTGAGGTTCTGTCAGGACCTAAATCTATAAACCCATAAACTCTAGACTTGGAACATAATAGATACTCATGGGACCAAGAAGTATTTCTTAAGCTCCTGTGCTTAATAAATTCTGTGCTAAGCCCTGGAGTACAAAGAAAGGCGCAAACTGTCCCTGCCCTCAAAGAGTTCACCATCTAATGGGGGTAGGGGTAGGGAACCTGAAGACAAGATGCAAGCAACTATGTTCAAGCAAGTTGTAAATTAATAATTTAATGATTGTAATTGTAATACATTAATACAATTAATAATATAATAAATTAACAAATTAATAAATTAAAGGTAATCTCAGAGGGAAGACACTAACTATTAATCAGACTAGGAAAGGCTTTTTTTTCAGAAGATGTTATTTTCATAATTCAAAAGGACTTATAATGAAAAATGCTATCCTCCTCCAGAGAGAACTGATAAACCCTGAGTGCAGATTGAAGCATATTTTTTCCACTTTCGTTATTTTTCTTGCTCTTTTTTTTTTTTTTTGCAACGTGGCTAATATGTAAATATGTTTTGTGTGACTTCACATGTATAAGGGGTATATATTGCTTGCCTTCTCAATGGATGGGGGAGGGGCTGGAGGGAATAAGAATTTGGAACTCAAAATTTTACAATGAATGTTTAAAAGAAATTTTTAATTTAAATTAAAAGAAAAACCAGAAAGATTTTACCTGAGTCTCAAAGGAAACCAGTAAAACCAGGAGACAAAGAAAAAGATAATTCTAGCCATGAGGAACAGCTGGTGAAAATGCACAGTCCAGAAGCAGCTAGGTGGCACAGTGGGGATAGAGCTCTGGCCTTGGAGTCAGGAGGACCCAAGGTCAAATCCAGTCTTAGACACATGACACTTACTAGCTGTGTGACCCTGGGCAGGTCACTTAACCCTGATTGCCTCATCAGAAAGAAAAAAAAAAGAAAATGAACAGTCCCAAGATAGTGCCTTGTGCAAGGAACAAGGAGGCCAGTATCACTGGATCAGAGTATGTAAAGAAGAGTAAGGTGTAAGAATACTGGAAAGAAGAAAGGGCTTTGAATGCTAAACAAAGGATTTTATATTTGATCCAGGAGGTAATAGAGAGCCCCTGGAATGATTGAATAAGAGAATGATATGAGTGATTGACCTCTGGCAAATCTGGCATTTTTGCTCAGTTTCTTCATCTGTAAAAGGAAGGGCCTAAAACTAGATAATGTTTAAGGCCCTTTCCATCTATAAACCAATGATGTTTCAACTTTAAAGACATATGACCCCAAATACACCGCTTTTTCCACTATACCAGCCTGTCTCTACCTGCGTCTGTAGGAAGTTGTTAGTGTTCTCACTTCTCTATAGTGAAGCATTTGCTTTCTTTTCTGTGGGACAGTAGTTCTGCTATCAATCTATCAAGAATTATCTAAGTCCTGGACTTCCAGGGGTAGATTCAAGATGGTAGAGAAAGCATGAGCTCTCCCCACATTCCCTTCCAAACAACTTTAAAATAACACCTCAAATTGAATTCTGGAGTGGCAGAACCAACAAAAAGTCAGATGAGACATTCTTCTAGTCCACGATAACATTGGAGGTTGGAAAGACAGATTTGTGACATGGGAGGAGGCTGGCCCAAGTGGATGCAACACCCACGGTGAGACGAGGTAGGGGTGACAGAAGTAGCAGCAGCTTTGGAATCTCTCAAGCCAGAGACAGAAAAGGATCAGGACTGATGCTTATCGTTTGAGCTTTTATTATAGTTTTCCATTCAAATGACTGACATTTAAAACAATTCTCCTCTCTTTAAATGGGGTATATAATATTTTGTTTGAATATTTTATACTTTGCTGAATGTGTATGAAGATGTTTTATCTTCTGAAATTTTCTTTGGGGAATGATATATTACAGATTTGGACAAAATAGGTAATTACAGCCCACAAGATATTATAATGTACCATTTCCACAGACCAAATCCTCTATTCCATTCAATTTATTGAGTGTCAACACAATACGTTTATTGATAAATATTAACTGTTGACTAGGCACCACGATGCCTGGCACTGGGATCAGTCCTGGAGATACAAGACAAACAAACAAAGAAAAAACACTTTCTGTCCTTAAAGATTATGGGGGAAGGAGGAGGTTTGGGAATAGAGGATAACATGGAAGATTCAACATGCATATGGTGAAATAAATATATGTCAGGGGAGTAATGGAGAGCCTTAAGAAACAAAGTTGTTATTAAGTTTTTTTTTAGTCTGGACCCCATTAGGGATTTATGGGGAGAGGTAATGGAATAGTTTGCCATTTCCTTCTCCAGATTATTTTACAGATGAGGAACTGAGGTAAACATGGTTAAGTGATTTCCCCAGAGCCACACAGCTGGTAAGTGTCTGACACCAGATTTGAACTCAGGAAGATCAGTCTTCCTGACTTCAGGCCTGAAGTTCTATGCACTATGGTACCACTTAGCAGTCCAGTCCTATTAATAAGCTTCTCTAATGTAGTAAGGTCGGTCCTTGGATAAGAGCTAATTTCCATTATGGGTAGGTCCTACCTTTGAGAAAGGCTACAAGCCAAGACTAAAGTAGAGGGAGAGCTGGTATGTGACTTTCTATTTGCAGATGATTGTGCACTTAATGAAGCCTCTGAGGCTGAGATGCTGCTTATGCTAATTTTGGCTTAGCAATTAACACCAACAAAACAGGTTTTCCACCAGCCAGCACCACACCATCCATATGTGGAACCATAGGTTACAGCAAATGGAGAAGTTTTGAATACTATGGATAAATTCACTAACCTTGGCATTATACTTTCCAGAGATATACACAGTGATAATGAGATTGGCACAGGAAACTGAATCACTCCCATTTGAATTGTCTTAGGAAGTTTCTACAGGTCACCTGGCAAGATAAGTACCAGACACCAAGGTCCTTTCTTGAGCTGAACTGCCAAGCATTCACACTACTGCAGAGAGCACAATTATGATGGGCTGGCGATGTTCAAATGCCAAATGTATGTTTGCCTACAAGACTATTTTACAGAGAACTCACACAAGACAAGCACTCAATGGAGGTCAGAAGAAGCATTTCAGGAATACTCTCAAGGTTTCTCTGAAGAACTTTGAAATGGTTTTTGAGACATGGGAGACACTAGCACAAGACTGTCCAGCCTGGTATGCCCCACACTGAAGAAGGTGCTATGCTCTACGAGCAAAAAAGAACTTTGGTAGCTCAAAAGAAACATGAGATATGCAAATTTAGAGACATCTCCACTCCAAATGTTCACATGGACTATTTGTGCCTTGTCTGTGGTATAGCCTTCCAAGCTTGTATTGATCTGATCAGCCATAGTCCATAGTGACCGCAACATAGTGATGTCATTTTGGTTTTCTTTGAGCACAAAGGACAACAACCGAACAACCAACCAACTGCCTCAAACTTCTTGATCAACTAAAATCCTTGACTAGAGAATTTCTTTTAGAAAGAATAGGAACCTTTATCTGGTTTTGTGTTTCAATTAGGAAATTGTCCAAAAACTTTGTGGACTAACTTCCTCCTTTTCCAAGGAGCAGGACATATCAGAAAATCTTCTCTTTATAGAGTACCCAGTGCATAGAATTCTTTAACTCAAGAAATTATCAATGAGTTAACTCTTTAAAATTGATATCTATATTGACATATTCAATTATATTAATAATTGCACTACCTGCTTCACAGGTCTGTTGTGAGTTTGTACATTTTAAATCAATAAATTATCACTAATTGATTAGTTATGGACCACTTGTACATAATACCACCATTATGTTTCAAGTACAGAAAGCTAAAAATCACACATAAGTGTCACTGAGGGTAAACATAAACACTTTACATACCAAAGCTAAGATTGGAAAATACCTCTAAAAATTTTATTAAAAAATCACAAGAAACATTATAGGCTTTGTTTGAGCTCAGTGGCTCTTGATATAGTTCCCTTTCTTCCTCTACTACCTTTCCCAAGGCTCACAACTTCCAATTCTTGAAGTTTTGCCCAGAACTTTCTGTGTTCCTCACTTCCAAATTGCCAGCTGACAACTCCATCTTCAACACTTCCTCGATTTGCTATCGTAACCAAATGAGCACCTGTCCAAGCAAACTAAGAAGTAGGAGGACCTGTGTCAAAAGCTCCCTGGATTGTGGTAAATTCTCAGTTTCAGTTGGAACTTGAGCTTTTCCAGATTTAGGAGCATTTATAGAATGGAGTGTTCAAAATTGAACTGGGTTCTCCCAATCCTGCTTTTATTCATCATGGAAGTGGTCTTTCCAAGGGGAATCTGCTGCAAATGACTTGAATATTTGATTCTTTGTTGCCTGTCTTCTCCTTTTCTTACTCTATTCATAGAATAAAGTGAAGGTTTTGCAATTATTATACTGTATTTAGAAATGCCATCTGGGAAGTGAGCAATTGACCAAAAAAAAAAAGTTATTTCTCTCACTCAGTGAGCTGAATAGCTTTCAGATTTAATTGTCTCGCCATGGCTGTTTGGGGGTTTTTTAGCCTTGACCTGTTGATCTTGTGGAAAATCTTCTTGGCAAGGTTTTATTTAAACATTCTGATGCGTCTCTTAACTTCTTTGT